GCAAATCTTTGTTGACATGCCCGCTGCTTCCCTCCTCTGTGGATAAAATTCTGGACATTTACTAGTAATCTCCATTCAGAGGATTTGCTTGAAAAATCTCTGCCAGCTGCTGGGGTGTGTGGTTAGAAACTCCCATCTTCTTATACAAGTGCTCCTTTTTCTTAGTAAAGTTCCCCAGGAATTCCCGCACAGATGAGCCTGGATATTGATACTTCCTATCTTGGCAGGCAGTAACAAGCGTGACGGGTTAGATGAAGAGCAGTTGGGAAGGAAAAATAGTATTCCACAGCTCTTTTATACTGTAAAGCCTTGAAGGGTTTTAAACAATAATAGTTTATTTTACAGTATATTCTCTGGGCATCTTCTTTTGGGCACAGGATGTTGAGTTGCACAGACTTTGGAATGCCTCGGGACAGCCCTACTGAAATAACTCCTGTGTGAGTTGCATGTAGCATGTAATAGTGACACAGTCTTCTGTCCCATAAACACTAGGGGACATTGCCAAGGCAGTTGTGTGCTCAGCTAACTTTTCATTTTGAAAATCAAGCTCACAGCTAATTTCTCTCTAACAGGTATTTTCTATGTATTTCCCACTTAATAACTAGGTATTGTTAAATACCTCTTGTGTTTAAAAAGAGGACAACCCCTCACGCTGTCATGCAAATATATTTTATGAAAAGAAGAGCTGGTTTTTTTCTGCTCTACTTCTGGAGTTCCAGTAACTGTTATGTAGATATAAACGTTTAAAAAAGTGGATGCTTTTGCCATTCCTCTTCCCTAGAGAGGTGTTCAGTCCAGAACACTGATTTGCTGTCTAAAGTGGTGCTTCTGTAGCTTGCAGAAACAGTTCAGTACTCATGAGAGCAGACACTGTCCTTAAGTGGAAATAGGAGTGTAGAGAAGTATGATTATCACAAAATAAAAGGGGACTTCACACTTCCTTTCCAAATCTACTGTTCATCTCTTGTTATTTTACTCTGCAAGGGTTAAGACTTTTTCCTGGAGCATACCATACTTAATTTTGAATATTAATCCCTATTAGGAGTATTAGACTTCTTCAGGGATTCACTTAAGGACAACTGAAGTACGTGGGATGATTTGAAGACCAAGACTTTAACAGTGTTTTGAGCTTCCAGAGAGAGGACAGTCAAGTGCATAAAGTGCAAAGAGGTACTTAAGTTGTTTTATTTATTTCCAGGTATATGTATGTAGTAAGACTGCATTTGCCCCTTATTTCAAAGTAAAAAAACAGGAATATTTTTCCTATGGATTGTCAAACGTTTGTATTCCAGATGCATATGAAGTCTTGATGGTTTTGCTGAACACTTATTAGAGGAGACTGGCACTGGCTACAAGAACAGTGATGCTTTCTAATAAACCCAAAATTTGTGTTAATTTCATCATCTTGTTTGACTGAACATGTGGAATCAAGGAACTACCAGTTAAATTCCACCTTTCAGCATTTGAAAGGATCAGTGGCTGGGTGAGGAGCAGAGAAAAGGGCAGGAAACGTGAGCAAAAAAATCACCAGTCAGAACTATCACTATCAGTTTTTCGTCTATTTATTGATGGGCCCTTAGTCTTCCGAAGGTCAGTTAAGACTAAAACCATCTGCAGGCTTCTCTGCTCTGTCCCTTATCACCCCAATCCATACCTCTGTCAGATATTCCTGTAATGAGTTCTAGGCTAACTACATTTTAGAAAACAAAAAGAAAAAGAATGGCATTACCATAACCTGAGACACAGTCTCTGGGCCATGATCTACATAGGTTGGTTCTAGGGGAAAAAAAAATAAGGATTTAAATAAGAATATCCTAAAGGGAGCAGTTTGAAACAAATGACAGCTCTCTGGTTTTACTGTATAGCTCCTGCTAAGTTCTGCTCTTTTGACACATGGAGAATCCATATGTGCTTGTGATATTCAAGACCTTTTGATGTAATTGCTGATGGGTGAAGTCCACAGCATTCATTCATTGTATATTTAATCTGATTATCTGTACACCAACATCGATAATTACCTGTAACCTATTATTAGAATTCTTATGCAAATTGCTCTTTTATATAATTTAAAATATTAGCAGTACAGCACAGAGGAGCTGGAACTCTTGTCCTGAAGAATTCAGTGCAGAAACTTACTTCGAGTGTCAAACAACAGACAGAGAGTATGAAAAGATAAATTATTCGGTAATGAATCCTACACACTTATAATGCACAAGTTGTAATGAATCTCAGTTGCTCTTGTAATTTTGTGAAGTTGTTTACCTAATATGGTAGATGTGCCATATGGTACACTAAAGAGAGTGTTAGAATGAGGACGTGAAGATTTCGAGGTTTTTATTTCTAGTTTTGTAGGCATCTGTAAACTACATTCAAGCTGTCCTAGAATGCGAGCAGAGGAAGAATATAGGCTGCTCTGCCCCTTGATGCTGGCTGCTGCTGCTGCCACTTGATAACATCCTCCATCTCTTCCTGTCCCTCTCTCTTCCCTCAGGCACTGTGTCCCAGCACAGGGCTGTACCCTGGTTAGATGCCATCAAAGGCTTTCAGCCACTCTGCACCTTTGGGCTGGTTTAGCTTAAAGTCGAGCTTTTTCACCCTTAATAAATCATTTGAGCAGCTGATGTAGATTAACTCTTCTGCTGGTTAGGGAATGTGACAAGGCTTCTGTTCCAGAGAGTTCTTTGGTATGTTGCTTATAGAATTTCACCATAGCTAAAACTAGCAACGTGCACGACTGTGGCAGCAGCAGAGGTTGGGACTGTCCTGCTTGAAGCAGCATTCCTGTCTCGTAAGAAATGGGCAATGTGACCTACGGCGATGTCTGTAAAATCACAGCTACTTTGCAGCACTGTAATTTGTCAAAAATCGATAAAATGGAAGTTAAAAATCATAGTGATGGGAAGGGCAGTTTCTCTCCTTGAGTTTCAAATGATGACTGAGAAAAGTATTTGAGTACAAGAATAAAAGATTAATATATAACTTCTCAGAGGACTTAGGCAGTCCCTCCTAGTCATGCCACCTGGTGAAGTGAGTGGAGCCTTGGGAAAGGCTCAGTGTTGTAATTTTTAGTCACCAGCCAAAGTTTACTGCAGGTTAGAGGAGGACATAGAAACTAAAAGAGCGGTATTATTTACTATGAACTGAATTTCTAAGATTTTTGATTTAAAGATACTTATACTATTATTTGGGGCCTATGTGCTAAGAACAAATACCCATCAGTTTTTATGGTTTTTCGTGTGAGCTTTTTAAGGTACATTTGCATATTTGGGGGCAGGGTAAGACATGGACAGTACTTCAGCACTGTTCCCATTGCTCACAGGGTCAACTGCCAAGCAGATCAATTTATTTAATGTCACAGCATTACAAGGAAAGTGATCATCACAAATATGCCACGGGGAAAGCATTGACACCCACATTTGGGCAATCCTAAGCAGACAATACTCTGACCTGTTTAGAGCAACCCCCTTCTCACAGATAACTCATAGCTCTTGTTCTTCCAGGTCTCCATCAGCCTTCAGGCAGCAGCTTTCAGGCCAGTCAATTCTGGGCATCACCAACCAGCAGGTGCTGAGCCCATCCCACTAACAGCAGAGTTCCAGCCTCTAATGCCACCCATTCCCAAAACATAAGAGCAAAGCTTATTTTAAAATACTGATATAAGAGATGCTATTTTAAGCTTGTTGCCCCTTAAAACTTAATTGAAAGTTAAGTTGAATCAGGCACTGGAATAGGTTGCCAGGGAGGTGGTGGAGGTGTTTAAGGGGCATCTGGACCTGGCGCTGGATGATGTGGTTTAGTAGCTCAGGGGTTACAATGGTAGTGCTGGGTTTATGCTTGGACTTTATCTTAAAGGTCTCTCCCAACCTTGACGATTCTATGATTTTTATTCCCCGAAAGATAAATCGTAGCATCTGGCAATATTGTTCCAGCAATCCAGCTTTTCCGGGGAAACAGCGCTCGGCAAGAAGAGCGCGCTTATTGAAAGGCGGGTTGTGCCTTCTTTTTTTTTTTTTTACGTTATTTACTTCCTTTATGATGGTTGCACAACAAGGTCAAAGTGCAGCCGCCTCCCGTATACGCGACCGTGTCCCACCTGCCGGCAGCGCCCGGCCCGATGCCCGCGGGCCGACCCTCGGGGGTCAGCGCTGCCCGCCGGGCGCTGCGCGGAGCGCGGCTCCCCCACAAGGGTTAAGCGGCGCCGGGGGTGTAACGCGGGCTGACACACGGGCGGGGATCGCCCCGCCGTGCCGGCTCGCAGCTGCGACTGGACCGTTCAAAATCGCCGTCTCCCTCCTTCTCTTCTCCCCCCCGCCTCCCCTCTCTCCTCTCCCTTTTCCCTCCGCGGCGCCCGGGCTCGCAGCGCTTTCCCCGGCCGTGCTGAGTCAGACCGCGCCCGGCACCCGCCCCCGCGGCCCGGCCGCGCCGAGGGGCTGCGGCCCCCGGGTCGCCCCGCCAGCGGCGGAGGGAGGGAGGGAGGCAGGCACAGGGGCTCCTCCTCGCCCGCTGCCCCCGCCCGGGGCTGGGCGTGCACCCCGCCCGCCCCGCCGGTGGATCAGTTACACGCAGCTGGCACAGGTGCGGGGCGCCCTTCAGACTCGCGCCGGCGGGGGAGACCCGGACGCAGGGAGCAGCAGGGAAAAACATGCAGCCATTTTGGGCCGAGGCAGACAAAGAGCCGCCGGCGGCCGCGGCCGCCCCCCCGCCCTGCCCCGCACGGGCCCCCCGCACCAACCCGCGCCCGCGGCGCGGCCGCACCGAGGGGGCCGCAGCCCCCGCCCGCCCCGCGGCCCGCGCGGAGCCGCCGCCGCCGCCGCCCGACTCCTAACTAAGCGTTCGCAGCCATTTGCACGGCCTTTTATAGCGCGGGCGCCGGCCAATCAGCGGCGGGCGGAATCCCTGCCCGGCCCGGTGATGTGAGGGCCGGGCGCGCGCGCGTGCGCGGTTGGTGCGGGGGGAGCGGGTGCGAGCGGGGCGGGGGGAGGAGGGAGGAGTGAAAGGGGAGGGGGGGGAGGAGGGAGCGCTCACAGGAACCCTCCGAAAAAAAGATGGCGGCGGGCTCGGATCTGCTGGATGAGGTTTTCCTGAACACGGAGGTGGATGAGAAGGTGGTGAGCGACCTGGTGGGCTCCCTGGAGTCCCAGCTGGCGGCCTCCGGCCACCACCACCAGCACCACAAGGCGCAGGAGCCCCTGAGGGCCGCTGGGGGGCTGCTGGGGAACCATGTTGTGAGCGGCAGCAGTAGCAGCAGCAGCCCAAGCCCCAGCCCTGGAGGAGTAGTAGTAGGAGGCAATGCTAATGCCCAAACAGAGAGCGGCAGCGGCAGCAAGATGGGACTGAGTGCCCCAGAGATCACAAAAGCAGGTAACGTGGGCAGGGGTGGGGGGCTCTGAGGGAGAGGGGCCCTCCCCTCCCCCCACTCCCCAGCTCCCGCTGCCTCCTTCCCTCTCTGCTTTCCCCCCTTTTCCCTCTCTCCTCCTTCTCGTTGTGGCAGGAGCGGGAGTGCAAAGGGTGGTATCGATCATACGGGGGAGAGCCTCCCCTCATCATGCCCCCTCGGTGTGTATCCGCGCCTTGCTCCCTCCCCTTTATTTTCCCTCCTCGCCCGTGCTTACTCGAGGGTGTTGGATCATGTGTGGGGGCAGCCGCCCCGCAGAAGGAGCCGGCAGTGCCCGTCCGTGACTCCGCCGGTCCCCTCTGCTTTTCCTGTCCTTGTTGCTGGAGTGTAAAAGGGCTCTGTTAATCCCGGGGGCTGAGGGGAGGCAGAGCCCACCCCCTCGGTCATGGCTGTGCCTCCTGTGCCGCCTGTGACTGCTCCCCTTCCCTCTCCAGGGGTGGAGGTTATGGGGGGGATTCCCTCTCGATAATGCCGCCTTAGCTGTCTGTGTAAATGCTCCTTCCCCTCCCCCTTCGCTGTTGCTGAAGTGGAAGGGGGTGTTATTAATCATGACACCTATTTCCTGTAGAGGAGGAAGCGAGGGGGGATTTCAAGGGGAGGAAGTCCCTCAAAATGCTTCCCCCCCCCATATCTGCCTGACTTGATATTCCCCCCCGCACCCCTTCTCTTGTTCCAGGGGCTTGGAGGGGGCATCCAACACTCCCGTTCCTCCTCTGCCCTCAAGGGGGGGTTGTCACAACGCCGGGTCCCAGCAAGGGGGGGAATTCAGGCCACAACACCCCACCTTGCACAGCGCCTTTTCCCACCCGCCCACCCCCGGAGCTGCCTGGGAATATTCCCCCCTTCGTGCTGGGAGGGTTGTAGGGAGGCAATGTGAAGACTGGGACTGAGGGCTCACTACGTGGGAATGGAGGGAAGCTGTTTTTTCAGGGGGATTGGGAGAAATGTCTCCCCAGAATCTCTCTGCAATTCCTCCCCTCCCCCCCTTTTTTTTTTTGCTTTCTACTTGCTGAAGTGTAAGAAGATACTACAGACCCTGTGTTATGATTGATGAAGCTCTTCTAGGAGGATCTCCTTGACCCTTATAACGTGCATCTCAGTGTCTCTCTGTCACTATTCTTTTCCCATTTCTATCTCCTTAGGGCCAGGACCTGGACTGTGTGTGATTGTACTTGTGATAACACCAGGCCTCATCAAGGGGCATGAGGATTATTCAGGACAAGAAGCTACATCATCTTGTCCTTTCTGAAAGCCAGCTTTGCTTTTTATTTATTTATTTTTAATTGTCTCTGGCTGTGGGAACTTCAGGTCCGTAAGAGCAAATTCTATAATAAAGAGAAGGGATCTTCTAGCAACCTACTCGAGGTCCTGCAGTACCTCTTATCTTGCCAGGCCAATGTTTTGCTTTCCTTTCACTTTTCATATTTTACTGTTGTTGAACCTCCTGATCTGACTTACTTACTCTGTAGGTGATGACAGGATTAGAGGGTAATATGTGCTGGATGTAGGGAATATGTCTTAATAATGTGTCTTCCATGGCCATTTTCTCTCCTTGCAGTTGCAGTCCTTTTGCTAAATGTGATATCAGGCTATAGAGTGGGGAAGAGGTCTAAGATGATTTTCCTCCCTTCCCTTGGTTCATATTAAATGTTTTCCCTGTTTTGTCTTACTGTAGTGTCAAAAGCAGGAGCGTTACACTTAATATTGAATCTGCCAGAGTTTGGTGGGAAATTGGAGGCTTCAAGATAATGTCTTCAAAGCCATATTCAGTTTGTACTCTGTCCTGTTTTCCTGGCTCCAGGCAGGCAGCTTGGAAGATGGAGAAGACCTGGTGATGAGGGAGAACATTCTGTCTTCTCTTCTTGCTCATTCTGTCTGTTTACCCTTATTGTTGTTTTGCAGGAGCAGGAGTGCAGGGGGGTGTTATTAATCATAACACCAGGTCCCAGACTTCAGCTCTGGATGGAGCCACCACAACGAGCACCAGCACCACCACTGCAGCAGCAGGAGGATCTGAAGTCACTGCTGCTCCAGGGACCCTCAGTCAGGGTAAATCGGTGGTTATCAGCACCATGGCAACTGCCTTGTCCACCAGGAATGGCAAGATTGGGACCACAACAGTGCAGACTTTGAATGGGAGTAACGTGGTGATGAACTCTCACCACACAGGAAGTGCTGCTTTCTCTGGGACTCCTGTGACTGCCAACCCCACTCCCGCACCTGCTGTTGCCCCTCTCGTTAACAATGGACCTGGATCCGTGGGGAAAGGAAACGCTGTTAATGCTGTTTTGCCGTCAGCTTCCAACACTGTCATCCAGACTTCTTTCCTTAACACTGCTGTGTCCTCTGCATCTTCCTCCTCACCCACAGTTATCTCCTCACAGCCACCGCCGAGCGTCGGGACCGGAGCGCCCACGGTGACGCTCGTGAGGCCCCCGATCCACACAGCAGGACCCACGGTAGCTGCAGCTGGTGCAGCCACTCAGAATGGGAGCAATACTGTGATCAATTCAACCATCAGTGTGGGGAGTTTTCCTGCTGTTGCCACAGCCACTGTGGGATCTGGAGTTTCCCTCCAGACATCGCTGGTGAACAGCCAGTCTGGTTCCACTGTGGCAGCAGCTCCTGCCACACAGGTCATCAAATCTGAGTCTCCTAAAACTATAGTCCAGGCCGTGTCCCAACAGCAGACGCTGGCTACTGGTGGCCAGCCCAGTACTACAGGGGGTAACATGATTATTGGGCAAACTATGCAAGCTGGGCTCTCAAATGTTGCTCCCAATCCTGGTGGGATACCTCCCGCGGCTCCTGGCACCCCCACAGGAATGGCTAAAGGCACTGCCAATACGGTGGCACAAAGTCTGCCAAGGACTCCAACACCAACCACGAGTGGAATCAGAGCAACTTTGACTCCTACAGTTTTAGCACCTCGTTTGCCTCAGCCACCTCAGAATCCGACTAACATTCAGAACTTTCAGTTACCACCAGGTAAGTGAGAGGATTGAGGGATTTTGTTTTGGGAGCGTATTTCTTGCAGGGAGGAGAGGTTCCAAGCAAGATTCCTTGCTGTTTAATTGTCAATTGTGGAAAAGGCATTACATGTAACAATGAGAATCATCTGGTGTTGAGTAGTAGCATAGTAGCATTCCACTGCTCAGAGTATGACTTTGGGTGACCAGAAAGTGTTTTCAGCAGTAATAATTTGAAAATAATTCTGCCTGGTATCTTTGTTCCAGTGTGAGTGTAGATGAAGCTGCAAACTGCCAAAGTGTGACAATGGAATATTATGCAATGAAATGTTGATATTTCATTTTCAAGAAAGGCATTTTGACTTTTCAGGCTGTTTTGTCAGTAGCTTGTAACCTTCACGTGCTGCTCAGTTCCCTCTCTGTCCCTGCATGCCCTCAGTACCACAGAGCTCTGGTGAATAGAGAAGCAGCAGATACAGCACGAGAAAACTAACTACCTTCTTTTTGCTTTAAATACCTTCAAAGTCTGACTTAAAAACTCACAGATTTGAAGCTTATTATCATCTTTTTAGTCACTGGCATTCTGATACAAAAGGCAGACTTCCTATGTCCTTACCTCACCCTGTTGTGTCTAGGGCTGCAGCGTTTGTAGTAGCTAGTCTCGTGCTTAGTGCTGAGCATCTCTGGACAAGGAATCTAGTCCTGAACTCAGTGGGTGAGTAAAAAGCAAGATGAGAAGCATTTCTTTGCTGAGAACTGTTGTGTCTCTCCTTAAATATCTTAGATTTAGAGATTTAAGGTTATATATTTGCTATTATTTTGAGCCAGGCTTGTTACTTTTATCTGCTTTGCTTTTTGACTGAAAATACTTGTGTGAACCTACATGTTGCTTCCTGTCTTCCTAATAATACATACAACAGCTGTATTCTTACTCTTCAGTGTTTTCAGGGCAGTATACTAAGAACAGCTAATTAACTTTTGCTACTAATACCGAGTGAAGTCAGTGGTGGTTGTGTATCATCTATTTCAAGTGGTCTTGGTAAAAATACATCTCTTGGAGCTCCTGACCAACCTCAGAGCAATGCACCTGTCACATAAAGTAGATCAGGAACTGTACCATGTTACTACACACTGTCTTTTTGTGTAATATACTATCAGTGGTATATGATGCCATGTAGTTTGATGAAATCTGTCAAACGTTCTGGATATCCAAGTTCTAAATGGCATAAATATTTCTCCTTTTTTTTTTTTTTTTTTGTATAGAAGATTATTCCATATATGAGTAATTTGAATGACAATGTTGCTAATTTAAAGAAATAGGAGTAAAACTCAGATCTTGAAATCCCAGTGCTTCATTTGAAGCTTGTAAATTGATAGGCTGGAAAATCCTTATTTGTTGCCATAACGTATCAAAGGATTGTTCAGGTTTACAGTCTGTTGCCATGTATACCTACGTTTTTGTTAATACTGCATTATAAACCTGATTATGGGGAAAAATACTTTTTTGGAGTCCAGTGGGACCTTTTTTTTAGGTGACTGATGTTTTCAAACTGCCACAACGTACTGAAATGTGTTACTCTTAGAAGCAATGTTGCCAGTTCTTAAGCAAAATTGGACTATAAATTTGCTTCTTTGGAGTTCTCGATAGATTTAAGGAAAACAATATAAGTTCTAAGCGCTTGGGTTTTTATTAAACACTTTTCTTCTCTGTCCTACACTTTAAGAAATATTTATAACTTCAAAAGAATAAGCATGACTCTTAAAATAAGTGAGCGTTATGCGACTGGATACACAGAAATTGGAAATTGGGTTCTTGCATGACAAGACAGTCTTAATATTGAAAAACAATTTTTTTTTTTTTTTGGTGAAACAGATTATTTTTCTTTTAAATTGCTTTGGCTTGTTTGTTATACTTTCCAAAGTAGCCAACTTTGAAAATGTTTTGCAAAAACATTTCTTTCAAAACACTTAAGAATTGGTGGATGCTGAGCTCTTACAAATCTCTCACAGGTGCAAGGGCCAAGCACCTCTGCAAGTCTGGCCACATGCAACTGCTGAGAACTTTAGCAGAACTTTAGAACTTTCCTACTGAAAGGAGAATAGGTGGCTGTGCTTTTGAAATTGTATTTCAAATGGCAGCATCACAGCCAAGATTTTTGGAGGCAGTTTGGTAGGATGAAGGTGCAGCTGCAGTGCCTGTGTGCTGTGCACCTACTGTATGCATCACATTTGCATTCACAAGTTTGTTTTTAAAAGTTAGTAATGTGTGCTAGTAAGAATTTCTAAGACTTAGTGCTTGAAATCATGTACTGCACACACAGCTTTTTACACCAAGAATTACAAACACTTAGAAAGCAAGTTCTGATAGAAAGTTTGACCAATAAGCAGCACATTTTACAGTTATTTTCGTACCCAGAATCACTGTTTCTAGCTCTCCAAAATACAGTGTCACATGTATGGGAAGCAGAATATAAGATGTCAGTAAGTGTTATTAACCTGGGACTTGAAAACTGGAAACCTTTCAAGGTTTCAAATGTTTTCTTAAAAAGAGCATGTGGGAAATAAGCTCATTCAATGGTCTTTAAAACACAGGACTTTTAGAATAATGCTTTGTATGGCATCAAGGCAAATGTGCAACAAACCTCAACTGACAAACTGGAGATGTTTGAAGAGCCAATGGGCCATAGTTGTGGTGACCTTGCTGGATTTTGGTGTATTGATTCTCTAAGCAACTGGACTGTTGAGAGTATCCATGCATTAGTAGTGGTTTTCCACTACTGACATTTTTGAGGAAGAGGACTCTTGCATTTAGTCTTTTCTTCAGGAGCCTGTGTTTGAAACTTTGTGGTCCAATTGGACAGATTTGGGTAATGAAGGTCCCAAAATAACCTTATTTATATCTTCTTAGCAAAGACATGGAAATATCGTGAGGTGATTTTGTAGGGGGCAGGAACAGAAGTTTCTCTTTATGCAATACTGCCTTAAGGATGCAACATCTACTGAAACTGTGACTGAAAATAAATTGGATGAAGTTTGTTGTTTCCAAGTACTTCAGTAATGTGAAACATGTTTTGTACAATAATATGGTAAGAAGTAGGAAAATCAGTTTGTTAAAGCAGTAAGTCAGTGTTCAGCTTTTACAGGTGCTTAGAAAAGCCTGCAGAAAAGTATGACTGGGATTATGCCCCAAAATTTATCTTTTGCATTGTGAGAGTTTGTAAAGTGTTTAGAGGTCACTGCTGACACAGAGTAGAATCATCTTGTAAAATGGCAAAACTTGTGTACTTTAAAATCACTTTTGAAAATACCATCTTGTCCAGCCAGTGCTGTAGTACAAACCCAGCACTATGAGGTTGTGCCTACTTCAGCACTACTGTCAATTTGGGGTTCAAAGATTTGGTTTCTCTTCTTGCAGTGTTGTTACTCTGCTGCTTTATCTTTCTGTACAAGCATCTCATAGTGAGTTTTTAAGGTGCCTGCTTAGAGAGAGGAGCAGATTGGCGAGTGCTGTGGGTATATAGTAAGAACAGTATAGTGCAGGTGGGTATGGACAGTTTTCTCTACTAGCTTAAGTAGAATTGAAATCTAGAAACTTTCACTTCCTCTTTTCCCCTCTTTTATTTTACCTACTGAGTGATTGTTCGTACTTACAGAAATTTGGTGGCTTGATCGTAAAGACTAAGTCTTTTTTTTCCTAAATAAATACAATTCTGTGACAGTCCTGTTTGAAGAGAGCAGGTAGGATGGGTTGTCCTTGTGGTTTTTTTTTACTTCTGCAATCATGACCAGTGTTCCCGCTGGCAGTAGTGCAGCTGTAGTAGAACTGTTGTCACAGAGTTGTTTTGTTTTGTATCTAAAAAAAACCATCTTTATTACTTTCCCAAAACTCAGTTGGATCTGCCAGTAGCTGAAGACAGGGAATGAGACAAGACTTCTTCGTTGGAGGGCATCTCATGGGCCATTTCTGGCTGAGTTCAGGATGGGCCCTTTCTAGACTGAAAAACTGCTGGGGCCCCTTTAACGTGGAACGTTCCAGAGCTCTGAACGTTGCCAGTGGTTAAAACTCACCATTGATGCTTTCCAGAAGCGAAGGGTACCCGGAGGAGCATTGGTGCTGTACCTCTGCAGATCCTGGAAGATGTACTATGTGAATATGCACCCTCAAGGTTTTCTTCATGGCCTTAGAGGCTCAAAACTTCACTTGGTGTTAAACAGGAGCTTCTTTTGTAGAAACCAATCAGTTTTTAGCTTGTGTTCACTATCCAAGAAGGATTTGGATTTAGGCCTTGGTTATAGTGGCTTTAGGATGGGAAAGCATGGGTTCAGGTTGTTTTGGCTTGAGCCAGTCATACATTTTGGAGCTGGAGTAACTGAAAAATAACTTGTGCAGGAGTAGTTCCATTTCTTTCAGTTGGGAGTTGGGGTGGTGGGTGATTGGGCAAAGGAGAGTGTATAAAAATGGAGAGAAGTGGCAGCTGAGAAGAAAGAAACAAACAATTTGTGTTACTTTTTCATACTGAACTCCTCATTCCTTGGGTAACTTTGTACTTGAAACATGTACCCCAGAAGTGCCCAGAGTAACTAGGATGTGGATAGATGAGGAAATCGTCAGACTTCCCTAATGTAAGAATTACAGAAAGGAATGATAGAAATACTATGAAGTAGTGGAATGTGGTTGTTTCTATTTCTCACTGACTAGTAAGCAAGTTGAAACATATCCTCATTATAGTTTCCCTGTGTGTTGCATGTGCTGCCAATATTATGCCTGTTAACCGTGTTGGCATGGCTTGATTTTGTTAAAAATAATGTCTGTAATGCACCATGACAATAGGAGCTCCTTAAAGTACTTATAGGATGTTTTACTTTCAAAGCATTTTACAAAACTTAATCCTTGCGACATGCCTATGTGGTTGGTAAATAAAGTAGTATGAACTCTGCTTTAGAGCTGGGGGAAAGAGCAACTTCGAGAAGTTCTGACTTGCCCAAGGCCATGCAGGAATCGATATTTTGCCAGGACTA